CCAGTGTTGCCTTTGCTTTTCCTCCGGCTCCCCACATATCTGAAAAAGGACTTTTTATTGTCCTTGATGCTTGAAACTAGTTGGAGTTCAGTTGCAGCCTTGGCTTTCCTGGCTTGCTCCCTGCAGGACCGGACCAGTGCAGAATATTCCTCCTTGGAGGTGAATCCCATCCTCCATCCTTTGTAGGCCTTTCTTTTTAGCCTCAGGAGGTCCGTTAGATCCCTGGAGAGCCAGGGGGGCTGCTGTGCCCTCTTGCTGCCTTTCCTCCAAGATGGAACAGAATTAGCTTGTGCATTGAGGATTGCTACTTTGAGGAGCAACCACTCTTCCTGAACTCCCATCCCCTAGTGGTCCCTTAGAGCCTCACTGACAAGCCTCCGGAGCTTGTCAAAGTTGGCTTTCCTGAGGTCAAGGACTTCCATGTTGCTGACTGACTTGCCAGCTTTACGGCGGATGGTGAAGGTGATCAGCTCATAGTTGCTGTCACCCAGCTTCCCATCAATCACTAGGTCACCGATTAGGTCATCCCCAGTAGCCAGTACCAGGTCGAGCAGCGCTTTACCTCTCATTGGCCCACATGAACCACTTTAACTGGTATAGAGTACATGTTGCAAAGAAAAAAAGCTAGATTCTGTTTTCTCTAATTATTATTTTAAAATTTCAAGTTTAAAATTGCCTGATAGAGATGTTTTTATTATAATTTTCTACTATGAAAGGTACATTGGCCAAAGTTTTCATGTGTGTGCTTTCCACCCCAATCCAGGTAAACAAAGTAGTTAATCCATTGAAGGCCATCATGATTATAAAAACTAGTTTCGTTTATGAGATAAGAATCCATCATCCCTGTGCAGACCGCAATCCTGTGTGGATTATTAATCTACAATCCAACCATGATTTCTTGCACCAAATTTTTGCATCCAAGTTGGTTTTGAAAATGTTTAAAAACAGCTACTCTGAAGTTATAGATTCATAGATGCTAGGGTCAAAAGGGACCTCAACAGATCGAGTCCAGCCCCCTACCTAAGCAGGAAAGAGTGCTGGGGTCAGATGGCCCCAGCCAGATGCCTATCCAGCCTTCTCTTAAAGACTCCCCCGAAGTAGGGGAGAGCACCACCTCCTCTGGAAGCCCATTCCAAATTTTGGCTACCCTTACCATGAAGAAGTTTTTCCTGATATCTAGCCTAAATCTGCTCTCTGTCCGTTTGTGACCATTGTTCCTTGTTACCCCAAGAGGCGCCATGGTGAACAGAGCATCTCTGATCTCCTGCTGCATTCCCCTAAAGAATGTGTAGGCAGCCACAAGATCACCTCTCAGCCTTCTCTTGCGGAGAGTGAAGAAGTACAGGTCCCTCAGTCTCTCCTCACGGGGCTTGTCCTGTAAGTCGCTAACCATATGAGTGGCTCTCCTTTGGACCCTCTTGAGTTTATCAACATCCTTCTTGAAGTACGGTGCCCAAAACTGGACGCAGTACTCCAACTGCGGTCTGACCACCGTCACATAGAGGGGATGTATCACCTCCTTGGTTCTATTAGTTATGCATCTGCTGATGCATGATAAAGTGCGATTAGCTTTCCTGATGATTTTGTCACACTGACAACTCATGTTCATCTTGGAGTCCACTATGACTCTGAGATCCCCTTCCGCTTCTGTGCTGCTGAGAGGGTCACTTACCAGCCAGTAGGTGTGCTGGATATTTTTGCGCTCTAGGTGATTGTGGTCTCTGTTGATGAGGGGGCACAGTTGGCATTGGGGTCTGGAACAAGGCCTGATGCCTTGGGAAAAACTGGAGTTATGTAATCTGTTGCTGGAGAGAGACTGCTTGAAATTGGGGGACTGCCTATAAACCAGAACAGGCTCATCCCCGTGGCTATCTTGAGATGATCATCATTCTCCTTGAGAGGCTGGATGTCATTAATAATGTGTCCAAGGTGTTCAAGCTGAAAAGATTTTGTTCTTTTTGTGACAGGGTTGCTATTGTAACAGATTGGGGTGAGGGCTGAGTATGTCTCTCGATTCAAGTGCTATGAATTGTGGATTGGAAGTGTAGAAATCCCTGTTCACTTTCGTAAATGTGTGCATCCTGGTAAGTAAGATCAGAGCAAATCTGGTTGCAATGAAGAGCGTAGCTGTGTAGATGTTGGATCTAGTGCTGTGCTTAGACATGTGGTAACGTGGAAGTAGCTGTAGAAGTTGGTTAATTCACAATACAATATGGTGGTCATGTGGTAAGTGCAAAGTTTCACAAAGGTGTCCAAGACATGAATATGTTGGGTGGAGTATTCCAGAGTCAGTTTAATGGAGGAGTGAAAGTTGTTCAAGTCCTGGTGGAATCTGTCTAGAGAGTCCTTCTCATATGTCCACACAAGTGTCCCTTAGGTATACCAGAAGAAACAAAGGGCAGCAGCAGAAGTGAACTTCAAGGTCTGTCATAAATATATTGGCATATCGGGGGCCATGCATATGGCTGTGGCAGTACCATTTGTTTGTAGGTATAGGAGTGAAACCTGAAATAGATGTGCATGAGGACAATGAGAAAGTTTGATTGAAACAGAAGTGGTGTCATTGTCATGGAAAACATGTCTTATGGCTTGTAATCTGTCTGGGTGGGGAGGGGAGGGAAGGAAGTATGCTATGATGGTATAGAGGAGTGACATTCATGATGGCTAATAGGGTGTTTACTAGAAGCTTGTCAATGCAAATCTAGTTTCTTGAAAAAAAATCAGTGGTGTCCTTCAAATAGCCCCTGCTCTAGTGACATATGGGAATAGGGCAGAGTCACTGTAGCCAAATACTCCCTCTATGATGGTACCAATGCCAGAGGCAATGGAGCATCCGGGTGCTATGTTTGTAGACCTTGGATAACAAGAAAGGAAATGCCTGGTCTGAGTTCCCAGGAGCTGGAAGCATAAATTATATCCTGTGTTACCAGAACTAGAGTCTTTCAGAGGTAGTATAGTCTCTCCTCTGATTGTCAGACCCTCCTTGGAAATGTAACAAGGAACCTGATGAAAATCCTTGAAAGACTGAGAGGTATAGAAGTCAAGCTGTTAAAAATTCCCTCTATTCAGTATTGCCTTAATCAAGGTGCAGCTTCCCAAGTAACTTGACAGTTGATAAGATAGTTACGGGAACAACAGAGCAGATTAGAATGATAATACACTGATACCCAAGAGGAAGGAATAATATCCAGCTATGTTTATACATATACCAGTCTATGATGAAGAATGCATATGTAAAGATGCACTGTTTGACCAACCATCAGGCAGTGAATAAAGGCTATTTGGTTTCTTTTATTCACTAGTGAACCTGCAGCAGTGGGACTAGTATAAGTGTCCCTGGAAGCTGAAACAATTTCTCTCTACAAAAATGTAATTTACACAATTTCAAACAAAGCTTCAACAGCTTTTATAATCAGAGGGGGACACAGAAGTTTCGAATTATGGCAAATGCTAACAAACAAATATCAGTCTCTAGATTAGTATGCAAGCACAGAACTATTTATTGCTTATGATTTTTGATTAAATGGAAAGTTCATTCCCAGACCCAAATCCCTTGCTGAAGCAACATTTTAAAGTTTTAGCATAAAAAAAAAGTAAAACATTAGAACACCTGGTTGTTTTGAAGTCTCTCAGAGCTGTAGAAATGTATTCAGACAAATGTTTTTCCATAAGTGCTACTCTGATCCAGGCTCTGCCCTAAGAGGAAGAACAAATAACATTAAAAATCTTAAACTAAGTAAAATGAAGCACTTTTCAGTTTTCATTTGTATTTCTGGAAAGCAGATCCATACAGCTGGAGGAGAAAAGCCATTAACAATATAAATGTGTTGCCTACTACAGTGATAAGGAGAGAAAAAAAGTAGAGAACGTGTTTGTGTCATTTTACAGGGGCCCTGAAATAAGAACTGTGAATCAAGAATCTTTACTTTTACATGTGATATGCCTGCAGATACAGGCATACAGAGCAAGAGAGGGGCCTACATATTACTTAGACTAAAGATTCTTAGTTCACAATTCTTAGTTGAATGCTCTTGTAAGACAACACAAACATATTTTCTACTCTTAATCTTTATAGATAGTGTATGTCACAGAAGTGTTTAAATCTGACTTAGTGCAAACAGATTTGAAAATTCTGTAGACTCTCCACGTATTGTAGTGCACCTTTCCAACACTATTATATTCCACCTCAGCTTGTTAACATATTGGTATTTTTACCTATATTTAAAATCTAATATGGGACTGCCCACGTATAAAACCATTAATAATTTTTATTTTTCATAAATAGCTAGAAATACAGCCCATACATTTTCTAATTAAAAATTAAAACTCATAATTCACTGCTACCAGCCAAGTATATATCAAAACACATGCCCCTAACCCGCATTAATGAATTAGAAAGTGCACAGTTTAGATCACACATCAAGATTCTTAATACGGTGGCAAAGTAGAGTTGGAAGTAATATGTGAATCATTACAGTTGTCAACAATCTCTGATTTCATACACCTCTAGAAAGAGTTGAAAAATTTGGGCAGAGCAAGTCCTTACTTCTAGAATAAATGTGTTAAAGAACTTTGACAGACTGCTGGGCATTTGGACATGCTTTTTATAGTTAAGCAAACTAACTTAAACACTGTGTGTTTAATGCAGAGAGTCATAATTCAAAAGACACAGTATTTCAAACAGTGTATTTACAGTAATCATAATGTTACATTATTTAAGCAGACCATCATGACTTGCAACATCCAGCAAAACTATCCCCAACTTAACATGGCAAATCATCTTGTTACTAAAAATTAAAAAGTATATGCAGCTCTTTGCCCCATGACAAAATTTCTAGCAAAAATGCTAGATCAGATTATAGTCCATTATCTCAATTTATATGAGCTGCGTTTATTAAGGATAATAAAATATTAAATCACGCTTGTGGAAAAAAATCAAGAGAAAGATACATTTTTGTTGTCATTTGATGTAGATAAATATATTGATGGAATACAGCAGAACTTTGTTTGAAGTCTTGTCCAATATGAACATTTGCCGTTAGTCACTTAAGTGTCTGTTTTTTATACCAGCCAAAAAAGGAGCCATGCAAGTTAAATGTCCCTCATCTAAATTAAACAGGAAAACTAGACAGGAGTGTGAATTGTCATTTTTATTTTTCACAATATCCCAGGAGCCTTTTGCATAAATAAGGCATAAATAATTTAAAAGTCACAGGAGTAAAAATTTGCCAGACCATATCAAAAAGCTGTCATTAGCATAAGGGCTATATTTTTATCCAATCCAAACATTCCCTTAAATAAACATTTAAGGAAATCCAAGAATTCAGAAAACACTTAGCTTTAAGATACATTATGCCATGCTTCAAACACTACCAATAAGTTTTCCAGACTTCAAGAAGTCAATCCTCCAGAAAATATTTATGTATACATAAGCAACAGATTCTATAAAATTCTGATGCATCTGCATCTCAAACAACCTAGAGAAGCTGTGCAGTTTAAAATGTCAAACTACTATACTGAGGGGGGGGCGGGGAAGAGAAGGAAGAAGAGAAGAATAAGGCAGAGAACCAATAAGGATCCTTGCTCTCATGTGCTGAGCTGTCTATGGGTACCCCTTCAGAGGCATGAAAGGCTCCAGCCAGGGGGGTGGATGACACTGCTCCTGTATGTGTTCATAGCCATTTTGATGCATCCCAGAGGCTCAGGAGCTGCATGGACCTGAAGCACTCCAAACTTGAAGGCTGCTAATTGGACCAGGATTTGGAGTACTTCAAATGTATGTTTGTTTGTCCATACCCAGAGATAAAAACGCCACCATTTAAAAAACACAGAAAATGTTTTTATATGAAATTCAGAAAAGAATTTATACAGAATATTGACCAGGACTCAGCATAGTTAAATTGCAAAGACTCATTTAACACAGTACACTGTTCCAAACATTATAAGCCCCATTAAAACAGCCATTCCAAATCAACAGTGGTTTCTGGGGTATTTTAATGCAGTCCAAGCAGCAACTCTTTACTAAATAAGAAATATGGTTATTGTGTAAATATGCTAGGTTATCATGAATTAATAAGTCATACTCTCAAAAAATTTACTCACTTTATTTATGAAAGGTTATTGCAAAACTTTGGGATAGAACAGGGGTTTTTTTCCTTCCACCAGTGACAACCACTGTGAAAACTATTTTGATTCAAATAAAGCAGTGCGTTTTCAAGACCAGAAAAGTTGAGCAATGCAAGCATTTGGCGTGCTATTCCAAGAACATTTTCCAGTTTATTTAACAATCAAATCTAAACTTTACTTAGTTCACTTGCCTATTAGATTACTCCTTCAAAATCAGATATAACATTTTTCATCTTTTCCAGAAAATCAGTTTTACAGAAAAAGCTAAACTTTGATAGAAACAATGACTTGTGGTTATTTAGGAAACAACCAATATAACAGCAGTTCATACGTATTTTTGCATACAGTTTCCTGAAGTGTCCATTGTAGAGGAATGCATGGAAAAGAGGGCTTACAACTGCCTGTAGCACAATGAATGGAGGATATGTTACTTTACACCAGTCAGCTTAAAAACACATGTATACTGAACACCAATACATATTGGTGAAAATATGGTGAGATTTTATAGAAAATATACTGGACAAATGCAATCATATATTGCTAGGATGGTATTGATAACCAGGTTTTATAAATTGCTGGACACATATTACTTAACGATCCTTTGGCAACTCAAGATTTCATGGCAGAAATGATCAAAGAATGTGTCACATATTTGCTTTTGAACTTGCTAAAAATTACTGATGAATGGAAAACCAGACATGGTCCAAAACACAAGGAATGGTTCCAAAAAATATATGGGCAGTTGTTAATGAATAAATTATATATCCATTAAAGAGACAGTAGATATTTGGTTATCATTTACTCAAAGTATATTAGTCTGAACATAAAACCGCACAAATATCCCATTTTAATATTAATCACAGCAGGTATGATTCACTCCATTTATAAAAATCATGCATGCTACATAGTATAAAGAGGATCATCCTTACGTAACAGGATAAAATCCTGTTCAATAGAGAGATTTGAGGATTATCGTACTTAATTTTTTAAACAAAGAACCAAGCTCACTGTTGTACCATTTTATTTGTGATATTTACATAGAGATGGTTTATAAGTCTGGCAATACTTCTTAAATATATAGTTATTTTAAAAGTTGTAAAGGATTTTAGAGGATAAACCTATTAATACCTTCTGGAATATAAAATAAAACCCATACCATACATCCAGTAAATATTGTAATATACAATATATTCAACATTTTTCTTTCTTACCTTGGCTCTAGAAGAACTGACATTCTCCATATTCTCAATGCTGCAGATGCAATTGTGTGATACCTTACGGCATGCAACTCGAATATAGTCCCAGAAGCTACGAGGGCTTTCATAACCAAACCAGGTGATATGCCCTTAATACACAAAACAACAGGCAAAATATGAATTGCTAGATGTAATGAAAACAATTAGAACATTATTTTGAACACATCCTAAGTTTGATCTACACTACTGCACTGACACCCAAGAAACTATATAATGCGTTATGATAAAAAGTGACCTGTACTAATACAGTGTAGCCTATTCTGAAACCACAGTATAGATAAAAATACTTAATGTTAAAAAAAGATGTCTTGCAATAGTACAGAGAACTTATAATAGGAGTCAAGAGTCCCAAGTAAAGTAAGAACTGCACAAACTCACGGAAACTCCAAGATCTTTGTGGACTATGGGCAGATGCCAGGTATGTGACTAGAGAGAAGAATCAAAACCAGAAAAAGACGACATACAACAAGGTGTGATTTTTAAAAACATGAAAACGTATGCCAGTTCATGCTACAGTAGAAATGCCTCTAGACCTAGCAGTAATGGAGCTTGGGGCCTTGCAGGTTGATTTCCAATGGAAAAGAAATAGATGTGGAGCGATGCATTTTCTTATTAAATCTTTTTTACATTATATATGGATAGACACCCACCTAAGAACAGACTTCACAGGATCATAGGAAAAGGTAGGGCTAAAAGGAACCTTACAGACTATCTAGGTGAGCTCCCTGCTCATGGCAAGATCACCCTTGACTAAACTATCCCGATCAAATCTCTCTCCAACATGCTCTTGAAAATTTCAAGTGATGGAGCTTCTATAGGTACTCTGTTCCAAATGCCTGACCACCTTCCAAGTCAGAAAGTTCTTCCTAACCCCCAACCTAAATTTCTTCTACCTCAGCTTGAGGCCATTGCTCCTAGTTCTGTGCCCTACAGCTGCAAAGAAAAGCCAATCTTTATCTGCTATATAAACTGTCCTTCGGGTATTTGAAGACTTATCAAATCCCCCCTCAGTCTTCTCTTTTCCACACTAAATAACACTAGCTTTTCAGCCTTTCCTCATAAATTATGCATCCTATACTTCTAATCATTTTTGTGGCTCTGTGTTGGACTCTTTCCCATTTATCCATATCCTTGAAGTGTGCAGCCCAAAACTGGACACAGTACTCCAAGTAAATCCTCATGAGTGCTGTCCAATTTATCCAGATCATTCTAGATCCCAGCCCTACCCTCCAGAGGTTTGCAACTCTACCCAAATTAGAGTCATTCTCAAATTTGCCATGCGTGTACTCAATCCCAAATCATTACTAATGACATTAAACACACCCCTGGGGAACTCCAACAGAGACCTCCATCCAACTAGCCATTGATGACTACTCACTTAACACAATGACCCAATCATTTATTTACCTTAATTCTGTCTAGTCCGTACTTCCTTAGCCTGTTAATGAGAATGTCAGAGGAGACTGTGTAAAGGCATGTCACATCTAATGCTCCCTCTCTATCTACAGAGCCCATCAACTTATCATAGAAAGAAATCAGGTTGTTAAGGTATGATATTTTTCTTTGTGAATCCATGTTGGTTGCTCCTGATCATCTTGTTTTCCTCTAAGTGGTTCACAATGGATTTGTTCAGGACCTGGTCTATGACCTTTCTAGGTATCGAGTTCTGACTGGTATGTAACGCCCCGCATCCTCCTTCATCCCCTTCTTAAAGATGGGCACTACATTTGCTCTTTTCCAATCATCCAGGAACTCACTTGACCTTTGCAAGTTGTCAAGGAGAATAGCCAATGGCTCCAATATTGCCTCATTGAAGCCTTTAGTACACTACGGTGCATCCCATACAGCCCTTCTCATTTCAAAGTGTCCACCTTCTTCAAGTAATCCCTAACTTGGTCTTCTACTCTAGGTTATGTGTTTCCTTTCCTATCTTTGCTGTCAATTACACACATCTGGTAGCTGACCTTATTTGTGAAAAGTGAAGTGAAAAAAATGGCATTCAATATTTCAGTTTTGTCTGCAATATCCCTAATTAGATTCTGTATTCTGTAAAGGACATATGGTTTCTCAGGTTTCTCTCATACTTTTGACATACTTACAGAATCCCTTTTTATTGCCTATGTCCATTGCCAGTTCCATCTGAAATTGTACCTTGCCCTTCCTAATTTTTTCCCTATACTCCCATATTTTATTTATACCCCTCCCTAGTACAATAACCAAGTTTCCACTTTTTGAAGGCTCTTTTTTGAGGTTTAACTCACTTAAGAGACTTCTTTTGATCCAAACTGGCTTTCTGTTGCTGTTCTGTCATATTGAGATAGCAACTGGGTGATTTTTCTTCTAAAGTTTTGGCCAGGTCTATTGCCCATTCTTTCACAAAAGCATACAGGTGTGGATCTGGGATCATTATTGATGTCTGAACAAGATTAAAGAAAACGGTTGCTTATTTCACAAGATTCATAATGAATCATGGCATCAATTCTAAGCAGTCTATGAATAGGGGAATAATAAAACTGATTAATTTTAGATAACTGGATCCCCTCACGTTTCTGCATGGTATGGTATGCCTACCAAGACATACTGGAAGGTTCAGCAAATGTGCTATGCAAACAGCTTCTGAAATATCAAAGTAATTTGTACTCCCTTTTTTTATTTTAGTGATAGTCACTGTTTCACTTAGCCATCCATCCACTGCAGGTACAAAATTATTTTTGCTCTTCAGTATAGGAGGTAGGACACCAAAATATTTTCATGGTAATAGTTTCACTTTTGACTGAAGTGAAACTGGAATGCACTTCTGAGCTTAACCAGACCTGTTGGTGTGTAAATATTGGAATAACTAAATGTTGGGCTCTAATAATATCACCTGCTCTTGTTGAATTTAGGTTATGATTCAAATTAGAACGAACTGCCCTACTAAATATACCACTTTGAAAATGTGGGGCAGAAACAACACCTTTTTTAAAATGTTTGCTAGAAGTAGATGACAGTTTAGACTATTTCTAGATTTCTGTCATATGACATGGAATACAAAATTGAACATTCTGTCAACAAGAACCTACTGTGTTTAAGAATATATGCCATATTTACTCAATTCCAAGATGAATCCCCTCCCCCCATTTAACAAGGGGAAAAGAGATCCTCATCTTGGAATCATGTATGAGGCGCAGTGGGAGGCAGGCAGCTACTGCAGCTCTGGTTCCAGCTCCAATCCTGGGTCAGGGTCAGAGCCACAGCTGCTGCCACTTCTGCACCCCTTCTGTTCCTCTGCACCCTTGAGCCCTTTTCACATTTAGCAACTTCTAATTCATGTAATTAAATAAAAATATAGGAACACTTAGCAAAGTATTATGTAATCGTAACAGTAAAAAACAAAGAACAACATAAGAAAAAACGCATTTATAAAAATAACACTAACATATACAAAATGTCTACTTTTTCTGCTGACACCTTTAACTCTGCAAAGAAAATGAACTGCCGCTCTTTAGACAGATTCATCTTTCCTCCAAGTTCTTGACTTCAGAGATCACAATTCTCAACCACCACTCCAGGAATTCTGCTTTAGACTCCAAGCTTTCCGATCTCAAACATGGAAACCAAAATTCTCTTAGTATCTCAGTAATATATCCACTGAACTTGTCAGGCAGTTGGAAGGGGACAATAAGAACAAATATTCTGTCAGCAAATTCTGCAAAACCTTTCAAATCCATTTTTTCCTACAATCTAAAGCCTTACCTTCATTCTAAAAATGATCATGGTCTTGAGCATCAGGGTTCCTGGTTTTTTCTGTTTCAAAATTGTAAATACTCTGATTAACCACTGCCCAGCCACCTCT